CTGGTAAGGACACCAGCGTGATCAGGAACGCAGTATCCACAAAATTCCTCTGAATATCCAGAGAGGATAATTTCGGATACCGGTGGAGCGTCTTGCAAAACATATTGAGAACCCGAATACGCATCTCGTCAAAGAGATGTATATTCTCGATATCCTTGTGCTGCGAGCCGACCGGTGCCTCGGTGCCAAATGTAACTTTCCAGGACGTGATCAGAGAGGCGAAGGGCGGCTCGACGAGTCTCTCGACTCGGATGGCCATTCTGTGAAGACGATGCAGATGTTCCACCCAATTGCCGCGGTAGAGGTCTATGCACACGGCAGCGACATTGAAAGATTGATCTTTGAATAGAAAGGGGAGTGAGATGGAACGGAAGAATTTGCTGACTAGGGAGAGTCGTCTGATTTGACGGCGAGAGCAGAGCGTCCAGCACAGTATCCAAATCTCAGTGGGAACGAGGTCCAGAGAGCGCTCTGGGACGGGTTGGTCCATGACTCGCGGGTAGAAGTGCAGTAACCATTGCTGGCAGACGTAGCAATATATACGAAAATCAGAGAGGCCCGCGGTAAGAGATCAAGATGATCATTACATCTAGCCGCATTGATGTACACCCAGTCAAATATGGACTGGACAGCACGACGCCCAGGCATAGCTGTATTGAGTTGCTCGAAAAGAGATTCGATGACTTTGTCTTTGCGCCAGGAGCTATTCACCCATCGACGATATTTCGTCATGACAACATCGAAGCACGATGCACCCGACCATCCAAGACGGAAGAGATGCATAAGGACGAACGCAGAGGACGCACGAAGGACTGGACGTCGGCTCTAGGTCTAGCAGAGGGAGACGACAGAGAAGCCGCGTCCCCACCTGATACGCGGACTTTCAAACAGACAGTGCGAATCCGTGTTGATGACCGACATACACCGTCTCGTCCTCGCCCACCTCAGCAATGATCACGACAGCGCCAGAGGACATGATTCCGAACAGACGCGCCGTCGGATGCCCTTCCTCCAAAACTTCTCAAGCATCCTCTTCAGACGCATCATGCCCCTAATTGATCTCTCACCCTCCCCTCCAGCAAACGTCTCTCTCTGGTCGACGATCTTCCAATCCTCGTCACCGCCGAATACCAATCTCACAGCCTCTTCTCGACCTCTCGCGCGCACGAACGCCCCGGCCGACAACATTCCTTTTCCCCACCCACCAGCACCACACTCCCCTCATCCTGCTGACTAGCAGCCTGCAGCTCTGGTCGACGACCTCCCAATCCCCGTCACCGCCCAGCACCAACCCCGCAGCCTCTTCCTGGCCTCCTTCTACACCAGCGCCGTCGGTATCAAGCCTCTTCTTCCCCCGTCCCACCCTCTTACCACACACCACCCCCGACGAGCAGCGTAGTATCCTGGCGCACCGATCACAAAGACATAGACGAGGATGAAAGTGGCAGCGAACATGTCTGCGCGCTTGACTCTTGACTCTTGACGACGGGACACGACGGAGAGGATGGGTGGATGGGGAGAGGCTGGCGTAAGGCGTGAGCCATACGAAGCCAAGAGCGGCCTCGGAAAGTGTAAGCACACGCTTTGTGTACAGGCTAGAAAGACTAACCTAGTCCCTCAGCAGATATGCGGCGACTCAAAGGCGAGACGAGCGTTCTTCGTCCTTCGCTACCATCCATCCAGCAACGAGCCACAAACATCGCCATTGCGAGGCGCCGATACACGACGAGCCTCCTCGTTGTCAGAAACCAGGAACGACAAAGTCAAGGTATGCCCCACGTCGATGTCAAACAGCCCCGCTCGAGCGAGAAGACAGCACCGTACGCGTGTCTGCGGAAAAAGAAGATGACGAGTCATCAGCGCCAAATCCTCCGAGACCATATGCTTGGGTACGTACCCTCACGATTCTGAAACTTTTTTTGATAGGGCGGTAGTCCCTCGACCCCCATCCTCTCCCCGCCCCCCGCTCCCATTCTCCGCCATCCTTTCCGCCTTCCCATACGCCAGAACGTAATCGGCACAGCCGATCCTTCGCCTCCGCCCTCCTCGTCCCGGCACGTCGCATTCTCTCCGTTACGATGCCATACCATAGCACCTCTCGCAGCCCGACCTCCACGCTCCACTGCACTCCTCCGCCACGTCTGTCTCGCACATTGTAGACAAGCCTCATCCCTTCCATGCTTGTTCTCGGCGAAACGAAAGCCCGGGAAACGGAAACACGAAACGCGTCGACCCGGGTATATCGCCAGTTCGAGCCGCCAATCCACGACAAGCCCAAGCTCGCGCGTATCCCCGTCGTCAAAAATAAACAGGAACGACAATGTCGACGTCAAACGGTCTAGCCGAGTACCTCGCCCGAGCGAGAAGACAGCACCGTACGCGTTTCTGCGGGAGAGAAGAATGACAAGTCGTCAGCGGGTGAATTCACCGAGACCAGATGCCTGGGTACATACCCCTCGTTTCCCGCCGTGTCTTGACGAATCTGCAGCGCGACACTTATGAGCGGTAGATCCTCGACCTCCATCCTCTCCCCGGCCCCAAACTCCCATCCGGCATCTTCTCCTCCACCCACGCAGAACGTACTCCTCACGTCCAATCTAGTCTTCCGCCACTCTCGTTGTCGTCCTCCTCGTCTCGACACGGCAGCACCACACGCACCACACTCTCTCCTAGACCTCTCCGTCAGGATACCATACCAGAGCACCTCTCTCACCCCGACCTCCACGCTCCGCTCCTCCACAACGCCTCCTTCCACGCCCGTTCTCAGCAAAACGAAAGCCCTAGGAAACGCGTCGATACAGGACGTGGCGTGGACAGACGGTGGTGCGGGTACGATGCAATGAGGAGGGATACCGCTGCGGCTAAGGGCCAAGACAACGAATGGTAGGTGGGGGCGGTCTTGAGTCTCGATCTTTTCGGGAGGCGAATGTCAAGGCGCTGATGTAGCGCTGGCGTTATACTCTTACCCTTAGACTTGAGCGAGCAGCCATCTAGATACTAGAATGAAGAAACCTCGGCGGTCAATCCTCCATCCATATCTAAGACACGGATTTACCTTTTGCTTCCTGACGCGTATAGCCATATTCGTTCCCACAGCCCTCCCTTCTTGTCCTGCTTCCTCTCCATCTCCTCCCCCCTCCTTCGCCTCCGCACGCACCATAGAAGCTCGTATTAAGACGTAGGACGCACGCCGTACGTTCCTAAGACCATGATAGCGAAATCGTATTGCAGCGGTGTCTACGAGGGAGAAGAGAACGAGTCATTAGCTCTCGTGTCGAGCTTCTGAGTGAGTTGCTTGGGCTTAGGCACGTACCAACAAAGCTCACTATCCGTCCGTCCTTCCACCTACTCCTCCTCTTGCCCTCCCCGCGTTCTCAGGCACCTCCCTCATCCTACTCCCGGACGAAGCACGCAGGCAGAACCACCATACTTCCCCTCCCTCGTCCGGCGCTCGACTCCAAACAGCCTCCGCTCGTCAGCCCCGCACGGGCGTGAAGCCAGCAAGTACAAGATGGAAGAATGGATGAATCTCCATCAGTGAGGGTAGCGAGAATGCCGAGGTGGACGCTTTGAGCGTCGGCGGAATCTGGCTGACGAGTCCAAGATGGCAGCTGCGAGTGAACGATAACGAGTCGTTGGCGCGTCAAGCTCTCTTCCGACGATAGAGCTTTGGTACACACCTCTGACACATCCAATCTCATTGCCTGCGCCTTCGTCGTCGGTGCAGTGGACGAATCGATTCGTTCTCTCCTCCAACATTTCCTCGCGCACGTCGACACGCCGTACACGCAGCCGACGCCCTTTCTCGCCGCCCTCATCTGCGTCTTGCTGCTGACTCCATCCCCAACTCATCTAACCCACTCCCGCCCCGCGACGATCCACCACATTCACCTCCCCACCCAACTCGACGTCCATACCATATCCACCTACCCCGCTGCACCGGTAAGCACTGAATCCGCCGCGAGCGCAGCTGGTACGATTAAGAGGAGAGACTCGGTGTCGATTAAAAAACGGATGACGAATTGGGTCGAATTGATTTGAAATGCGTCGCGCAGCAAGACGGCGGCGGAAGCGTCGTTGAGCGCAAAGGGCCGAGGGACGGAAGAGGTAGATGAAAGATGGTGGGGAGGAGATGGAAGAGGACGGAAGAGACCGCTATAAGTGCGTGAGTAAGCATTAACTATATAGCTACAAAGGCTCAGCGCTCACCCATGTACTCCGTCGATTGACGAATCGGCAGCGTCGCTTCTTCACCTCACGGGAAGCGGGGAGACGACCAGGCTGGTATATCGAAACATCGTCGGCGAGGAGGCACGGGTAGCCAGTTTCTTCGTCTTGTCTTTGCGTGCAGAAAAGGCGCGCTGGTGGACGTCGTGGTGGCAAGGAGGCGGGAACAGATAGATATACACAGTGATTTCGTGTCAGAGCCACAAAAGCCACTGGCTACAGAGTCCAGAATCAGACCAATGAAATAACTTAGATGAGAGTATCTCAGCGTACTACTCACAAATCATGCTTCTTCTAGCAACTCAATCTCTGAGACTACCCCAAGCCCTCATGGTTAACGACGACGCCGTACGTGTTTGCTTAGGGATAAACTTGCACGTCGTCGGCTGCTGGGGCGTACGAGTTGTTTCGTGAACGATGAAGTCTTGTCCGATGAGCCATAGTGCCTAGCAGGACTTGAAACGAGGGAGTGTTGACGCGTTGCTGATGCAAAGAAAACTCGAAGACCGCTGCTCGAGGGAGACGCGGAGGAGATGATGAGAGCAGGAACAAGGCGGTTACGGGCCGGGGTTACCGAATGATTTGGCCGGGCCCACCGGCAGTTGGAAGAGGATTCCCGCCTCGCTGCTCTGCTGGCAGCGGTAAAAAGTAGAGGAACACCTCACACAGGAATCTCCCCTCCCCGCTGGAACGTGTTTGAAGTCGATGAGAAAAAGACGCAGAGCTTACTTCAATGAAACGGAAGGCCACCAAAATAACACCAGAATGTACTATGCATTAAGGGGGAATCGAACCCCCGGCGGGTCGAGACTTTGCTATCATCTTTCGATGGCAACGACCCAGGTTACCACTACCCCATTAATGCCTTCGTCGAAATCCACAGCTGACGTGTCTCAATTGGTGTCCAGCATACCTATTCTAGTTGCAACAAGATCCTGAGCAAAAAATTGCAATAAAGCATTCGGAAGCCAAGGAAGAGTCGCTGACGGACAACTGACCTCAACTGACGGAGAGAAGAAGAGTTCTCAAAAAAAAACTCCGATCAAGCTTGTCTTTGTGTGTCTTAGATTGGTCTTGTGTACATTTCCGCCCGATTCGGACTTGCCTTCTTCCTCCAACCGTCAAGCATTTCTCTGCCCCAAAATCTGGCGACTACTTATCAAACGGCGCTTCCCACACGAACGTCAAGAGCTCAATCTCCCACAATGACTCAGAAACATGATCGGAATCGCTTGACTCAAAAATTAAAATCGAGCGCCTTCTCGTCCTTACATCTTGACTCGTATTCTCAGCAAAACTCATCTTTCTCAAGCCACCGTCCAATTCATGCTCTAAGCTGCAAGCTCGATCTAGCCTCAATTTACTCCTTGCTGTGATTCGAGTGGTCGCCTCTTTTCGGATAAATTTCTTCTCTTGATTTCAACGATTCCCTCGCTACTCACAACCGCTTCTCCGGCATTCAATATAAACTGGTTCGACATTGCTCCCTCCCCCTCCCCTCCCAAATCCGTCTTTACGCACCATACCGCTCTCCGAAAACTCCCTCTTCCATGGCCTTGATCTCTTCATAATCACTCATGAGCACCACATCAACGCCAACAAAAACGACAACATACGCAAGGCAAGATGTTTCGAATAAAACCTCGACATCGCGAGATTGCCTGCCCGAAGATAGAGATCAATCCGATTCCAAGAACGAAAACCAGGAAACGAAGAACCGACAAAAAGACGACCCACCCATCATATACCAAAGCCCTCGCACCCCCATCCCCCGCCACGCCCCATTCACCTCCCCCTCCTCATCGAGCCCCCAAACCCGCGCGCACCGATCCCCAACGGCGTCCCCGCACACTTTGCGTATCGTATTCCGCGCGTCGCCGAAGCTATATTCGAGTTCACCAAACATATTAGAATTAGGATCAGAATCAACACAAAGCCATTTAGCTCAAGATGGATTTGTGCTGAAGGAAGAGGATATTTGCTGAACGCAACTTACCCCGTAGCAAAAACAACCACATCCGCCTCCACCTCACTCCCATCCTCAAACCTAATCCCCCGCTCCGTAAACCCCGAAATCAGGCTATCGTTCTTCAACTTGATCTTGCCAGAGATGAGCAGCTCGCTCGCGCCGACGTCTACGAGAGGCATGATGAGCACTCAAGCAAGGAAGGTGCGATAGAAATAATAGAAGAATTCGAAAGTGTGTAAGCTGACTCGAACACACCTAAATAAGACCCTCCCCCCCTCTCAAACGGAAGCAACCCACTCCCCGTCCCCTCAATCCCCATATTCACGCGAAACCCGCACCCGCGCAGCCCATCCAGCATGTCCCTGAAACGCATCATCGACTCACGCATCACTCAGTCTTGAAAGCCGCTTCTCAGATAATCATAAAACACTGACCTATCAGCCTCCGCCACCACACCCGTCAACCGCCGATACAACCCCACCACCAACGACGCCCCATCCCGATCCGCATCCTCCGTCGGCGGCCCGCCCTCCCAATACGTCGGCTTCATGAGCGCGGAAAGCCCGTGGCGCGTGCTCATTACGTAGGTCGAGGTGCGTTGGTACATCATGACGTCTAGAGTAGTTGAATGAGTTGATATAGTAGTTAGTATGAAATTTAGAGGAGATGAGCCTGAGGAAGAATGAAGACGCACCGATGCCCTGGGAGTAGCAGTCCGCTGCGACGTCGTGGGCTGCAAGTAATAAGCATTCAAAAGAGATGAGAAAGATAGTAAAGAACGCACCGGAAACACAAGCCCCAATTACAACCACCTTCTTCCCTTTATACCTTTCGCTCCGTTTATATTTCGCCGAATGTATCATCTCGCCTTTGAACGTATCCTTCAAAAGCCCATATTTCAATATCAATATTCAACCAACGACAAAAGAAAAGAAAAGAAAAAAGGGGGAAGAAGACCAAGAAGAAGAGAAGAAAACAATCAAAGCAGAACGCACCATCCCAGCAAACGACGGAACATTCAACTGCCCGCCGCCCCACCCCGTAGCGAACACGACATGGTGTACGTTGCTCAACACGCGCTCCGCTCCGTCGCGGTTGATTACGACTTTCCAGTTGCCCGACGCAGAGGGCTGGGCGGCGAGAACGGTGGATGAGGTCCAGACGTCGAGGTCCATGGCGTCGGCGTAGGTTTCTAGCCAGTTCGCGAGCTATAATGAGAATGAATGAATTGAATGATAGCGAAATTTATTCCAAGAAAAGATCAACCTCACCTTCTTCGCTGGCGTATATATCGGCCAGGTCGGTGGGAATCTAGTATATATCTCAACGTCAGTGGATTCGAACTCGCCGCAAAACAAGCAAGACAAGATCAAGATAAAAAATACGCACGGCAAATAAGGCATATGATCATACCACACCGGATCATGCAACCGCAGCTTATCATACCGATTCCTCCAATTATCCCCAACCCGCGCGTTCTTCTCAACCACCAAAGTCCGAACATCCAGCGCCTTCAGACGCGCTGCGAGCGCCAGCCCGCTGTGTCCGCCCCCAACGATGACAACCGCCGGTTCATCGTGCTTGTCATCAGCATTTCGAGATTCCGCGCGACTCCCCGGCGCAAACTCTGGCCGCAGCGCACCAATCCTCTCGGGAAACCCCTCCAATCCCTCCAAATTGGTGTACATCCCGTACGCCCGCCACACCCCATCCGATTGCGGTACCAGACGCACGATCCCCGACGCGTTTCCGACGTCCTTGACGGCGAAATCGAACGAGATGCGGATCCACGCGAGGTCGGGGCCGAGGGGCTGCAGAGCGGCCTCCTTGACGCGGAAGTTCGCGAGCGTGGAGGGGAGGAGTCGGTCGGCGAGGAACTTGGCGATGGATGCGGCGCCGTGGAAGGTGCGGAAGTTCCATGTGAGAGCGAGCATGTCGCGCCAGTAGGAGTCTTCAATGAAGAGCTCGATGACTGCCGAGGCGTTGCCTTCCTCTGCGGCTCGAGAGAAGGAAGCCATCCATGTAGCGGCGACCTGCTCGACGTCGACGTCTGAGGGCACTGTCGCGTTAAGTCGTTCGAAGGTGGGTAGGTGGAAGTTGGGCATGATGTGGTGTATTGGGAGGCGAGGAAGTGACTAGCCTAGATTCTTGATTTTAAGAGACTGAATGTAAGGTTTCGGACCCAGGGTTTTCCGGGACCGGGGTAACTCCAAGTTCATTGCGCTAAGGACTCCACGATATCTACCGGGCTCGTGGCACCAATGAAGACATAGGCGAGGGATGACGAGATAACATCTTAATGCAGAGTTATGTTACCCATGTGCGTCCGTCGAGAGATTAAGATCCCAGATATGTTGCAAGTAGTCAAAGCGATCCAAAATTGCATCAAATATTGCAATACGAAGTCAACCTGGATATCAACCGAGCCGCATTCCCTGAAGCTTCTCATCAAGCAGGTCTTCTGAAGTCAAAAGCTCGCGAACAGCGTCAACCCGAGTCTTTTCCACACCCTCCAGGCGCGGGCTTAGGGCATCGAAGACATTCGATTTCCAGCTTTTGAACGCAAGCTACGAAAAAAATGTCACCGTCCCGATCAATCAGAAAGGTACCCAACGCACATTCCGGACGGTGAAGATGCCCTTATTTCCTTCATCGCGGACCCGTCTCACATAATGACGATTCAGTTGATTCATCAAGCGATCAACAACCTTCACGCCCTTTGAGAACCGATCCCATTCGGTGTCGTAGTAGGCAGTAAGCTCTGCGTCATTTCCGGGAGCACCCTACACACGCACATAAGAAGCGTTGTAATCACTGAAGAATCAAGATATTAGACAACTTGCTCACCGTAACAATGCTTTTGGTGTGTTCCGCAAAGAAGTTGCCTGTCAGAGTATGCAGCTCTGTCGCAAGTAGCGTTCTGACACCTAAGTATCTAAAATCCCACAGGTTTTCGAAAACCTCACCTCTGCAAGTTTCGTGAGCGCGAGCATCGGTAACACATCGGTATACAGCCGTATACGCGGCAGAATGCTCCGCAAATGTGAGAGGCGTGCTGCTTGACAGTACTTGCACGATCTTAGGCACAATTTCGCTGTTCCAGATCTCTTGGGCCATGGTTGGCGGGGACGGAGATGGGCGGTGAGAGCAAAGAGGTGGTGTCACGGTGTCACATGCCAGTGATCCGATGCTTGTTCCGCGCTGACGGCAACAGTCTGCCGAAGTGTGTTGAATGAGAAAAAATATTGTTCTCTAGCTGTCCTCTTCATTGGGGGCTCAAGATTTTTGGACGAATACTCTTTGACACTACTCAAATCACGGTGCTATTAGTAGAAGCTCAAATTACTTTTCACGTAAGCTCATTCAAGTGCTTTGTGTCTCGGATTGATTTCGAACTTGGATCCAGGCTGGTGTAGACTTTTGATCAACGATCGCCTCAGGCTCTGAATAGTTCGAGTTGAGGAGGTCACCAGTAGCATTAACTTCCCCGGGCTTCTTGAATTTTCTCAACGTCGCCAACGAGATAAGGAGGATAAAGTTGAAAGTTCAACCTCAAGTCTCAAGAATGCGGCTATGTATTGAGATCTGAATTCGAAGATAGAATTGAAGCAATGGGACATAGATGTAGTACAACGCGCAAATGGTGCATATCGTGAATTTGAATATATCGATTTTGAGACTACTAGTAGAATTCTTCAGTCGAGTCAATATGAAGGATCGCATCCGCAAAGAGCACACGATCGACCATACTCATCTCGGGCGAAATTTGTCTGAGGATACCATCCCGACGACCTTCGGTTAACCGCTGAAGGGTGCGGATACTCCCTTCCGTGACACCGCGCGCGTGGAGGACACTGAACCAACGCGCTGCGAGGCCCACTTCTTCAAGGAGGGTC